CTGCTCTCCAGGAGCTCCCATTCTAATGGGGAAGACAACATTCAAACAACTGTATAAACAAGACATACACTGGATAAAACAGAAATAATCAAGAGGGAAGGAAGGCACTAGCATTAAGAGGGACTGGCAAAGGCTTCTTGTAGAAGGTGAGCTTTTAGCCAGTCAAGAGATGGAGTGTCTTAGTAAGAACACAACAGTATGAAGAACAGCCTGAGTGGAAGGAGGAAGACTATGCCAGAGTGGAGAAAGGAGAGATAGAATTTGGACATAATTTCTGACAGTTTAGAATTCTGTCAGGGTCAACTCTGCTTCCAAAATGCCGCTGAATTCAATTAAAATATTTATTAAGTATCTAATTGTCTGACTGCTCCTCAGCCTCTTTGCTGACTCATCATCCAGGTTACTCCCACTAACTAGGGGCATTTGGCCTCTTGATGGGCTTGAACATGGCACTCCCTCTCACAATCTGGTGCCTTTTCACTGGCTGTCCCCCATTTTTGGAATGCTCTGTCCCCCACTTCTGTTTGTCTCTTGGTTTCCTCAGCTTCCTTCAAGGCAGCGCCAAGCCCAGTTTCTACAGTAGGCCTTTCTCAGTCCACCTCCTCCCAAATCTGCAAATGTCTCCCCTTTCAGATACCCTCTTGTGTTCTATATGTCTTGATTGTACATACTCACTTATATGTTGTGTCCCCCACTACAATGTAATGGATAAATGCTTACTGACTGAATGAACAAATAAAGTGCAGAGGAGTTTATATTTGATCCTTAAGACAATAGGGAACCACTAGTGTTGGGGAGGAAAGGGGGTGATATTGTTAGACCTGCATCTGCATGGTCAGACCTTTCAAATCAATTTGACAGATGAATAGAGGATGGGTTTGAGTGGAGAAAGACTTGGAGACCACCCAGAGCGGGTAGTTCAGTAGTCCTGGGACAAGGTGGTAAGGGATGCCATCATGGTGGTGATAGTATCAAAGGAGAGAAGGGAGAGTAGACAAGAAAGGTTATGAAGGTGGAATCAGCAAAACTTGGCAACTGATTGGATACAAGGAGGTGAGAGAGGGTGAGGAGTCGAGGATGACATCTAGGTTGTGAGCCTAGGTGACTGGGAGGATGGTGGTACCTTCAGCAGCAATAGGGAAGTTAGGAAGAGGGGAGGGCTTGGGGAAAAAATATAATGAATTCCATTTTAGACATGTTGCAGGGTTTTTTTTATTTGTTTGTTTGTTTTTGGCTAGGCAATGGGGTTATGTGACTTGCCCAGGATTACACAGCTAATAAGTGTCAAGTGTCTGAGGCCAGATTTGAACTCAGGTCCTCCTGATTCCAGGGCGGGTGCTCTATCCATAGACATATTGTGTTTAAGAGGTCTATGGAACATCAGTTCAAGATATCTGTTAGGCAGTTAGACACATAAGACTAGAGGTCTTACTGGATAAATAGATCTGGGAATTATTAGTAGAGCTAGCGATGATAATTGAATCTATGGGAGCTAATGAGATCACCAAGTAGATGTAGTATATAGAGGGAGAAGACAAGAAAACCCAGGAGAGAGCTTTGGGGGACACCTATAGTCACACAGGTATGCATTCGAGGCATAATGTGAACCTGAGTCCTCTGTCCCCAGAGCCAGTGTTCTTTCCATGATGCCAATATGTCATCCTGTCTTTCTTTGTCAAGTGATCTAGATAAAAAGGAAGTCATTTTGAGACTATGGTTGGGTATCTTCCCTTTACAACAGTGGAAGAAAGTCAAGTGAAAAGCTTTATTAAAAAAAGTAAGAATTTTATGAACCAGTGCTGTTGTAAATCTGTTGAATCCAAGATTCAGAGAATTTGTTTATTTGACTGTATTATAAAACAAAGAACAAACTTAGGACTTGATACTGGAAAGATACAAATATTTGTTTGGGTCAAGAATGCTATTTGAATCTCTACCAAGTGTATCCTTCCTGCAGAATGATAGGGAGGACTGTTCATGATTCAGCCTCTCCCTCTGTTTGCTTCTCCTCTGCTATAGGTTTCTTCATCCTGTATTATGTGTTTTTTAAAAAGTCTTTATTTGAAAATACTGATCCCAAATCAAGAAATAAATTAATATATTAAAGAGTAAAGAAACTTATCTCAATATAAATTAACTTTGTATTTTCAGCTATATCCTACTGTTCCTCTATACTTTAGCCCAACTGGACTATTTGCCATTCATTAAATATACTATATCCTCTACTGCCTCTATACCTTAGCTCAGTCCTTCCTTTCCTTCTGGAATGTCTTCTACCATGTCACCACCTATTCAAAGTTCATCTTTTGAAACTCAACTCACAATATTACCTCTTATGTATTGTTTTTCCAGATGATTATCCCAGAAGTGATCTCTTACCCCTAGGAAAACACTTTGTCTTTATCTTTCCTATGGTACTTAACACATTTTATTTTGTATTATAATTAACTGTGTATGTGTCTATTCTATTGTACTAAATTGAAACCTACTTGAGGACAGGACTTTGCATTGTATGTCTTTATATTCCCCACAGTGATTATCACAGAGACCTCCCACATGGGTGGTACTCAGTAAATGTGAATTAGTGAATTGTGAAAATAATAATGATAGTCATCATAAGAAACAGCAGTAACTGTTGATAACAAGAATTCAGAAAATGAGTTCCATGTCATAAAATTCATATTCAACAAGCCTTTGTTAGGGGATTTTTTAAATCTATTCTCAAAAAGACAGCTTCTGAACACTGTGAAAGGCCACGAAGTCCAGAAATCACATGCATTTTATTTTATCAAAATGTTAAGGTTTTCTTCTTCTTCTTCTTCTTCTTCTTCTTCTTCTTCTTCTTCTTCTTCTTCTTCTTCTTCTTCTTCTTCTTCTTCTTCTTCTTCTTCTTCTTCTTCTTCTTTTTTGCCTACCAGTTAAATCAAGACTCTAGGGGTATAGCTATGCAAAGCTACTGAAATCATTGCCAATCCAATTTTTAAAAATGGATTGACATTTTTGTTTTGACACAACAGATACCATACAACAAACAGTCAAAGACCCCAACAGGGTACACTCCTCCAAAACAGTTTACTGTTAACAGAAAGGAAGGCTTTGTCTTTTGTCTTTGATGGTATGTTATTAACATTAACCAGTATATTTGACCAGAGTTCTGATGTCTCTCAATGTTGCCTTTATTTTTTACATCACATTTTGAATGTTATCTAGTTTAATTTACAAAGAATGGAGAAAAATTTCTTTTGCCTCTTTTTTTCACTCAATATCACTTCATACAAGTCTTAACACATTTTTCCAAATTCTCTGTATTTGTCTTTCTTTACAATGCAATAATGTTCTGTTATATCACTACAGCATAGATATAAATATTTATTTACATATCAGTTTTTTCTTGCAGTCAATAACCTCCTTGTGATATAGTCAAAGAAGTAGAATCTCTAATATGAACAATTTAGTAACTTTTGGTTGAATTCTTTCTTAGAAGGTCTTGCCAGCTATGACTTGGCATTTCTTTCTTCCCACAGCCCTTCTAAAAAGGAGTTCCCCCATCTTTTATTATCTTTGCTAACTTGATATGAGTAAGAGGATATCTCAGAATTGTTTTAATTTGCATTTTCTAATTACTAATAATTTTGAGCCATTTTTAATGATTATTGATAGCTGATTTTTCTTTTTTTTTTTTTTACTATATGCTCATATCTTTTGACCACTTGTCTCTTGGTGTTGGCTAGGAATCTTAAAAACTGATGTCATTTCCTTGTATATTTTGGATGACAGACTTTTATCAGATATATCTAATGTAGAACTTTCCCCCAAATCCACGTCTTTTCTTCTGATTTTTCATTTAGTTTTTAAAAGGCACTTTAGTGTCCAATTTCTATACATTTGGCCAAATAAGATTATATATTTAATTCTGTATCTTAGTGTGCTTTATTATTAACAGGAGCAAGCTAAGTCTCATGATATGTAAAACAGATATTTTAATATGTGACCCGCCAATCTCATAGGATGGAAATGAACATGAACTAGTTAATACCTCTGAAAATCTTTGAGCTTCTCAGAAGAAACCTGCTACAGAAATCTCGGAGGAGGAGAGGAAAGAGAACAAGAGACATTTGAAAGCTGACTAAAACGTAGCTTTATTATGTATATATTCCATCACTCAGGGACAGAGTTTTCTGGGGTCATAATGCATCCTTCGCACACAACTATGGAAAGAGGAAATCAGTTTCTTCTTTTCATCTGACCCCTATTGCAGACTTCACTGGAAACCAAGGAGAAAGGAGGGAAAAAGAAAGAAAAGAGGAAAGAAGTCACTTATTGCCTGATCTTCTTTGTATGGTAAAGCTGTTTTTTCCTTCAAAAATAACAAATCAGAGAATGAGCTGATTATTAGTCTTCCCCAATTACTTGTCTGGACTTCTCACATCACCAAGCTGTGACATCTGTGTGGTCTCTTATTCTAAAGTATTCCTCAGCATTCGTTTTTAAAGATCCTGGAACCTGTATGAAAACAAAAAGATATGATATGGGCATACTGGAATGAATCTCACTATCTCTGATGAAGGAATTAGGACACTGTCTCTTCAACCTACAGTGAAAATTGGCAAAAAATACTAAACTGATGGGCACCCTGGTGATAAAGCTCACAGCTGAGTTCTAGTGACGTGACAAGTACTAAAACTCACACATGAAGTGCCTGATGGATTTCACACCAATTGAGTGAGAACCAAGTTAATTTATAAGTTTAGTGGCTAAGTCTCTGGAATAAGAGGTTATCTGAAATATTGCAGATCATCTTGGTTGTTTCTTCCTCATTTCAAACCGGGTGCAATTTTGGCATGTGTGAACTAAATGTGCCTCTTTCCTCTTGTGAATCATGTGATTTAAATTATGTTTTACAAACTGGAGATTTCATTGAACAAACTGTATAGAAACAAGGTCGAAATCTTAACTTGGTTTCTAATAACTTTTCCCCTTCCTTTTCCTTTTTTATTCAGACTGGGCCAAGAGAATCGAGTATAAGCCTGGTTCAGGGAGTATGCCCCTGTTTCCCAGCATCCACCTAGAAACTTGTGATGGGCCAGTTTCCTCAATCCAGATAACCACAGAACTACAGACTAATTACATTGGAAAGGGATGTGACCGAGAGACATACTCAGAGAAATCTCTTCAGAAGTTATGTGGTATGTTCTTCCTTTATTTTTCCCAAAATTAACTTTTCTTTAAAAATGCATACTCTAATAAAAATACTTTATAAGACTTTTCAAGTATATTCTGTTACATCACTTGTATTTCACCTGGAGAAACAAGGACAGTGAAAGCCAACTTTGAAGATGACTACAGACACAGAAACAGAAAGGCAATGTGGTATAGTAGGAAGAGAATTAGGACCAGGAAGCCAAAAACTTAGATTTTAGTCCCAGCTACATCACTAGCTTAATGTCTGACTTTGGACAAGTCACATCTGTAGGCAACAGTTTCCTCCTTTGGGAAATGAAAATGTTGGCCTAAATAACCTTTAAGGACTCTTGTTGTTTTAACATTCTACAATCCCATGAAAGTGAAAGCAGGAAACTGAGGCCAGTTTAGGACAAATTCATTAGCTCTAGTTCCTAATAGCTGACAATAGGGGAATTCTCTAAAGCTCTGGAATGTACCTCCCCAGTGTAGGATGATGATAATAATGATGAATATTATATAGTGCTTTAAGGTTTGTGAAGTACTTTACATATGCCATTTAGCTTGATTCTCACAATTACCCTATGGGGTAAATGCTATTATTATACCCACTTTCCAAATGAGAAAACTGAGTCTGAGAGAAATTAATTAAATTACCTGTCAAGAGACTTAACAGCTAATAAAGATCTAAGGTAAGATTCAAATTCAGGTTTTCCTGACACTAAGTCCAGCACTATATCCACAATTTAAGCAGTTCCAAAGCCATATGCATTTGGTGAGGACCATATCCTTCACTTACCCAGCCATAGTCAGGATAGCCAACTCTTTAATAGAGACTTAGAGTTTGGAGTCCCAGGCATGTGGAGGAGGAAGGCTAACTACTTAGGCAGTGAAAGCAAGGCATTTGCTTATGACTGCTACCTTCTTTGAGGCCATTAGGCTATTGATCTTATCTCTCTTCTAGTCACAACATAACAGAGATAGATTATTGAAGAGTAGAAATCCTGTATATTTACCTGGCCAAAATTCCAGATCAGGAACCTAGGAACAATGGAATTCTCTGCCTGCTAATTCGGTTCCAACTGCAGGTGGCAAAAAGGCACCGAGATGCTGATCTGAGCTAATTAAATTGCTAGAGATGGCACACACTGCTAAGAATTGATCTCAAACTGGTTTTATCAGGCTTTTGTCTGAGATTGTGATTCTGAGGCTCCATCTATTTATCCTTTCCATAAATGACATGTGGTAAAGAAAACAATGCTTTCACAAAATAAATCAAAAGGGATATATCTCTTTCAGTTATCTGCATGTTTTAAGCAAAAAAAAAAAAAGAAGGATGAGAGGCACTAAACTACTGGGAACATTGCCTCAAATTCTCCACTTCCCTTTGCTGGCAGAGATGCAGCCTTAAAATCTTTGTTTTACTTCAAACGACTATGCTATTTCAGTCCCTCTTGACCTGAAATGTCTCTTGGGGAAAAGAACCCGCACTCCCATGAGTTATAGTTATTTTCAAACCTGTTCTGGCTAAGAAGGAAATGATGAAATTAGCTTGTCACAGATCAGATGAGTCCTCAGACATAAGCCTATGCTTTGATTTTAAGTGTTCTTGGAGGGAGATGACAAGATATGGTGGTTGAGAAGGATTATGGAGGGGGCGATGCTAAAATTGTATCAGGGCCTGTTAACAAGCTACATTTAATCTTTGTTGCCAACCTCTTTATCCTCATATGAAGGCTGCTTAATTCTCTCTGGAAAAGTTTCCTTAAGGAATGACCTTATTTATACAGTCATAAGAACAAACTCTTTGGGGGGGGGAGAAACTTGCATTTCTCTCTTAGTGACATGGAGGGCAGTGCTACCTTGATCAATTATGGGGAACTAATTGAGGGAAAGGGGATTGTGTATGTGTCTGGTGTGCCTTGAAGTACACTTTTGCACCTTCTAATTAGGAATCTAATTTATGAATTACAGTATGCAGTGGCTTAGGAGGTTAAAGAAGACAGGTGAGAAATGTGTTTAAAATGCAGGGCTTCTGTTTTGCTTTGTCTAGACTTTGTTTTCATAGATACAGCTTGTGCTTTCACATTCAGGATAGAGGGTACACTATATCACATTCAAAACTGGGTCATTCTAGTAGCTACTAACCTCAATGGAACATGTCTGACTCAAATAAAAATCTTTTCCTTGTTTTATATAGACAGGAAGGCAGTCTACAGCAAAGATTTCCAATCAGGATACTGCTGTGACCCATGGGAATCTTGAGAAGATGGCTCTGATAGGCCATGGGGTTCTGGTTTTCCAATCTCCTCTTGGCTAATTGGGGGGGGGCAATTAGGGTTAAGTGACTTGCCCAAGGTCACACATCTACTAAGTGTCAAGTGTTTGGTCTGAGGTTGGATTTGAACTCAGGTTCTCCTGACTTCAGGACAGGTGCTCTATCCACTGTACCACCTAGCTGTCCCTCCCTTGGCCAATTTTTGATAGGCTGTTTTAAATTCATGTGGTGAGAATCGTAGTAAGAGGGAATATGTCACTGGAATCAGTGTTGCATGGTGGAAGGAGCACAGGATTGGGGTCAGAAGACAGGTTTGATTACCTGCTCAGATGCTTCCTAGCTTATGTGATCTAATTATGTTTGCCTCGGTTTCTTCTTCCATTAAAGGAGGAGAATAAGCATGATGATTTTAAGGTCTCTTCTCTTACATTTTATCACAATAAGAGGAAAGATGATAACTTGTATATTGCATGTCTGTGTCTATACTTATATCTCCAAGTCCTTGTGTGCCTCTGAACTTATTTATCTTCGTATATGCTGGAGTGCACATATGTTGTGTATATATGTTTATCTTTATGTGACGATGATGTTACTAGATGTGTGTAGTATGGGTGAACAAGTTAGCTAGAAAGGGTCAGTATCCCTTTTTAGCCCCATGTTCCTCTTCTTCCACCATTTTATAAGTTCATTGACATGTTATATATTGGAAAAATCACAAAATCCATATCTTGGGCCATCTCTACTAATGGTGACTATTGTAGTCTGGAAAAATCTCTGGGTTTTCAGCCTTTCTGGTGATAGGCTATCTCTGCTCGAGAGACATTCCCTGATTCCTGCCCTTGCCTCCTTTTCTTGAACCTCCTGTAGCTATAATCTTCTACGCCTTAGACCTTCTGAACTAGAACCATTAAGCTTCCCAGATAATTGGTGCCTTCCTGCCTATTACAATAGAGATGAGAAACTACTCCTCTGTTCTTAAGTGAGACTCTGCCCTTTCTTATAAAACGCTTGGCCCTCTTCAGCGTCCCTAAGCTGCCCTAATACATGAAGTGAAGATAGACTATGAAGTCCCATTCATCTAAATGGAGATAGCTGTCTGTACAGTTGTCAAGTGCAGGAAACTGCGTCTCTGTCATGAGCTATTCACTCTTGTCATAGCCAAAAGATTGAGACTCTATGGTGAGGCACCTGATTTTATCCTTTCTTCATCCCACTTTGGAGGTTTGCTGCCCCAAAATTTACTCCCTTTTTTTACTCTCTTAGCCATCTCCAATTAAGTTATGTGGCCTTCTCTTCAATGTTACCAAGTTAATGGGGCTGGTGCATTTAGTACTGGTTCTGTGAAGTCTCTTTAAGTTCTAACAACATACGTGATGATGATTATGATGGAAGCAGTGTAACATCAGTCAATCAACAATCATTTGTAAAGTACCTTCACTTTTGTGATAGTCACTGGGCACATAAAGACAAAAATTAAACAGTCTTCTCAAGGAAATTACATTCTATAAAGGAAAACCACAATACATAGCCCTGATTTAGAGTCAGAGGACTTGGGTTCAAATCTTGGATCTTGTTACCTGTATAACCTTGAGCAAGTCAATTACCCTCTACGGTCCTCAGTTTCCTTATCTGTAAAGTAGGCAATCCAGACTTGGTGATCTCTATCATTCCTTTCAGGTCTAAATCCTCTGATTCTATGATAGCATTCCTTCTTCAAATATTTCATAGCTAGCAGAACTTATTCAGAACAAGTGATTCTGAGATTTCCTTTTGTCAAAAAAAAATACAATTGCAGCATTGGCTCGTGAGAGTCAGAAAATGAATGGAAAGGCATTTATCAAACACTTTCTATGGGCCGGGCACTGTGTTAAGTACTGAGCGCACAAATGCAAGCAAGCAAAATAGTCCCTGCCTTCAAAGATATTGGCCCAAGATCACAGTGTTAGGCAGACAATGGGTGCTAGGCTAGAATGTGCCAACTGGTGTCTTGAATAGAGAAATGGGAGTATCCATTATCTGTTACACTGAGTGGTTTCTCACATCCCTTCCTCACATTAGAAGGGGGTTTTTTTGTTGTTGTTTGTTTGTTTTTTTGTATCCTCAGCTTTTAGCACTAGGTTAGCTCATTGTAAGCATTTAATACACATTGACTTTCTTGAACTGAATCAACTTAAATGTCCCACCCCAAGACAATGGGGCTTGTTTAAAATGGGCAAGGCTCAGAAGGTAGACCTGAATATGCAAACTGGATTGAAGCATTTAAGAAGATATTTAGATAATTCAAGAACAAACCAGAGATTTTACTGAAAGGAAATGTCTGCTGGTCCTAGTTTGGGAAATATTTTAATTTTCAGGTTTTAGCCTAGAAGTTTTATTAAAGTTATTGATAAACCCCTATTCACCAAGAATTCAAATTCAGGGATTGAAGGCATAGACAACTTTAGCTTGGTTTGTATGTTAGTAGAAATTTATATTTAATATTTGGATTCAGTTTGGAATTCAGCAAAGTAGTATAGTTCATTCTGGTATATGGTTTACAATTTAGCCTTGGTGTGAGATATTAGCTTAAACACTTTTTCCTGAAACACCCAGGGGATTGAACTCAATGCATCATTGGTGGCTGGGTATTTGGTTTTTTTGTTAATTTTTCTCTTTTCTTCAAGGATCTATGATTTCATCTGTGGGGGTACTCACATAATCTTTGCAGATTACAACCTATTCCCAACT